AAGCTTTAGTATTTCTTCCCCATTTGTATGACTGGTTGTAGTGAAAAGGAAATTTTAACAGAGGAATCCACTAGAAACTGCATTTCACTCTGACCTTTCCTGAACGGTGTAGAGAGCAGACATGTAACAGGCAGCCTGCCTGCGCAGACTCATGCTTGCTCCCATTTTCCACATCAGCATGTTTTGAGTGAGTGCCAGTAAATGCTGGAGAGTGAAACTGTAGATGTGTCAGTCTGATTGCCCATGTGTTGCTGGGTCATGTTGCCCTCCTTACACACCTTGTCCACGTGAAAGGAGGTCAGTTTGAAGCAGATTTAGATCCTGTTGGGTCCTGACTGCACCCTGGTTACCCAACTGTGTAAATCCCAGCAGGTTGCAGTCTTTATTTCTAGGGTTTGAACTCAAACCACAAAAGAAAGCTTTTAATAATCCACAAAAGCGAATACGGCTGATGTTTTTGTCTTTTCAGTGAATGGAATGTACAGATTAAATGACAAAATTTCCTTAAATTGAAAACAAACATTAATGAAATGTGGTTTGTGCAGGGGCCTGGCATACATTGCATTTGGAATATAATCATAATTTTACAAAACTTAGTTGGGAAATGGAAGGGCCTCGGTTTATGTCAGATCACATTAAAGAGATGTAAGATGCTAAGTTTCTCACTCCAGCCCTCCAGGTGACAGTAATACACTTAAAGAGGGTTTTTGCCTCAACGTGGAATGAAAGGGAGATTTGTAGCCAGCAGACAGATCCAAGCATGTGAGTAGAAGTAAACACTTTCCAATGCAACTCTAAAGTCTTAGGAACAATGGACTCTGGACTGGAAAGCTTTCAAGATTATGAAAACAATGAAACCATGGAGTAAAAAATCTACATGCTTGTGGTTAGTGCAAACAAAATAAAAATATATATTTTTTTTTACAATTTTGGTTGGGAAAAAAATGTGCAATTATGATTTTTGATAAAAGTGTTAGCCCCTCGTCTCTCTCTTTATCCAGGAAAGTTAGAATCTAATATCTACATCTTTTCCCTTTATTTCAAAGAAATGTAAACCTATTTTTAACATTAATAATTGTGAAAATTAGTGATGTTGCTTCTAAAGTTTCTTTGTTTTACTATTATGTTTAAAAATCCTAAATGTTGCAGCCGAGCAGGTTTTTCAGCTCCTCTCTCTTCTTTCTCAACTTTAATACTTCGAAAGTTTCCAGCATAAGTCCCACACGTGTTGCGCATGCCTGATCATGTGCTCTGGGAGTGAAAAGCCCGTGAACAAGACAAGCTTGTATATCCAGAGCTCCAAACTTGGCTCTGCTCCCATGAACCCACTTATCTCAAGACAACTGCCCATAATCACTGTTAACTGTCTTTCAACGGAAACTCTGTACAGTGAATCTCTACAGCGGACGCTTCAGTTATTCAACACATAAACTAACAATGTTCTACTCTCTAATTTCTGAAGAGACTTTCAGATTTTGCATCCACTAGAGTTTTTTTTTACATCAACCATCAGCTTATTCTGCTTTACTGTCTTTATAAATCTCCTCTGTTTTCTTTCTCCACAGCAGCTTAGCATGCTACATCATTAGTTTTGTATATTGCACATTTTATGCATATTCACAATATCCCATAACATACACACTCTTTTTACATTCATCCATCAACCCATCTTCCATCACGCTTATCCCAACGGGGGAGGGAAGGGGGCCGGGCCAACGGCGAAAGGCCGGGCAAAACCCGGAAAAGGCCCCAAGCCAACCCAAGGCAAAAAAAAAAAAAAAAAACCAAACAAACATAAACACAAACAACAAAAGACAATTAACAGAACACAAAGAATCTAAGACTCAGGGAGGAAGACAGAAAAAGGAAGCACCAATACACACACAGGCACAACAAGAAAACGCAAACCACAAACACAAAAACCACAAGCGGAACCTGAAACCAGAACCCTCCAACGCAAAAGCACAACAGAAACAGAAGAACTAGAGCAACCACACCCACTCAAACTCAAAGCAACAGCAGAATCACATCCACCACCAGTAATAGTAACACGATATTCACACCATATAACATAATAGATTCACCTCATGGTTTGTCCAAAACTTTTTTGTTTTCAGTTTTTGCTATTGTTCTATTAAAAACTATCTCTATCTTCTTAAGGCCTGCATCTTGCTTTTGTCCTTTGTCAGTTATCAAGCCGTAAAGCATAGAGGAGAATGTTTAATTAAAAAATGGTGAGCTTTTTATTCACCCAAAAACTAACCCTAACCCAAAAAATATCAAAAATTATTAGCAAATCCAAGACTTGGGCTGGAGACAGGCCGGCCAATAAATGAGGTCAACTCAATAAACTAGATTCAAAATCCTAACTAACCAAACCTTAAAAAAAACTGACAAAGGCTTTTAAAATTACATAAAACAAAATGGCTGCTACATAACAATAAAACAATGCCATAAACTCCAAACCCCGACTATAGGCAGCAAAGCACATGTTTCATTCCAGCTTTAGGTACTTCAGGTCACTCAGCTCTTAACAGTACCTTTTGCCAACCTGGGGTCCGTTTCAAAAACCAGGTTTACTGAAAACTCCTCCTAAACCTGAAATATGGGAAACTCTGAGTGGACCTACTTAAAGTTGATTAAACTAATTCCTAACAGCCGTTGTGAAACTGAAAAGAGTTCCCGACCTTAGGCTAGATCAATTTAGAGTTGAGGATTTTAATCTGAGTTTGTTAAACCTGCTTCGTGAAACGGACCTCAGGAAAGACAGGCGAACTCCCAAGTAACAAAGAAAGAGGTTTTGAAACAATTTGAAAAGAAATTTTGACCTTGAGGATTGATAGTAAAATAAACCAATAAGCCAGCATTATATTTGTTTGATAGAGAAATGTTATTTAAGTTGTGACTATAGAATAAACCAGAGTAAAACAAACATGTAGAAAGAGGTTTCGCCATCAAAACAGGTTATTCCATCAGTTCTTCTAACTTTATTCCCTCTACTTTGTGAAGTTTTACGGCTCCATCTGTCTCAATCCCTTTGAACACATGGATTTTTCCTCATTTCTCTAAAGCATTTTAAATCAAAATATCATCTGCAAACATGGAAATACAGCCCTCTGATTGTCTGCCTCATTTTATTCACAATATGCATTCATCAGTTACTATTTGTGGGTACATGTTAGATATTTATTGCTTAATACTACTCAATAACACATTAAATATAATAAATATATGTAAAAGTGAAAAATGAATAATATTATTGTGTCAACAAAGAAGCATTAAATGCAAAGAAACCACATTTGTTTGCCTCTAAAGATTCCTGCTTTCAAAGATCCCGCTTATTTCATGCTAGTGATAAACAGTTTAAGATAGCTGATGATATTTTTTAATTGTAAAGACACTGACAATTCATTCAGGAGGGGATGATTTCAGTAGAGCCATGCAAAATGTCTCCTCCTACTGGTCTTATTTGGGTTTCCTCTAAAGTTCTCATCACCTTTATACAGAGTGACCTTTGCACAGACTAAAGCCTTCACTGGAGCAGGAAAACAACGTTTATCACAGCAGGGCTGGACCTTCTCCATGCTCCAGAGTAAAACATGTTTCATGGGATCCTTTACTACAGTCATATAGAATAGTATGCAGGGAAAACATTCACATTCAGCACCTGCTCCTATTTATGTGATACTGTGTTAGCTCTTTTTGCGTGCAGTGGATAAACTCCCCTTGCATATGACATAAAGCAAAACAAACCAGGACATGCTAATATCTCAAATCAGCGTTGAATTGCCATTAAAGACATTTTTTAATACCATAACTGTTTTTTATTTTTGATCCTACAGGACCTTCCATCCCACATGCATTTGGTTTCTCCATTCTTTAAAGCTTATCTAAAATGAATTGGTTTTTGTAGCCCTTTACAGGATGCTAAGGAGTTTAAAGTGCTTATTTCAATCAGGAGTACGAGCTGATGCATATTTAATTGTGGGCCCTAGGGACCATAATTCAGATCTGATTTAATGCAAAGCATTAGGTGTCTTAGATTAAGGAGATTAAATTATATTCATTAGAAAGTTATTTTACTGACATTTCACAGGTTGCTGACTGTTGAAAGGTTGGTTGTCACATGATTGTCATGTTATTATTCACAGCTGGTGTAGTAGAACATTTATAATTAGAAACCAAAATAGTCCCAGAGGCTAATTGCAGATCATCTAGCTTTTCTACCAGCTTTAACTCGGGGATGCATGAACTTTATAGATAAAAATTATTATTTTCTCTCAGCCAGGTTCTGCCAGCCAAAATTAGCTTTGCAGAACATTCTTTTTATGCACAACTGTCATTGATTTCCAACATCAGTTTGGTGTTGAATTGAAGATACCATCTTTATACTGGTTGAGTTTATTTTTCTTTTCTGGGGGAAATTTTGAAATATCTGTGCTTGGTGCACAGATATTTAATTCACTTAAAGTTTGACCTCTTTATTAGAAAGGAAACACCGGAAAGAAGAAATGAAACAAATATGTTTATTGCATTTAGACACAAGAGCTGCAGTGGACTCTTTTGCCTGACAAACAGATCCAGTTTCAATTCTGCTTCTTTCTCCTCTGGTGTTTCCCCCACAGATCCCATATTATTCTCTTTCTGACCATCTGTCTTTAAATTTTGATGTTGTGCAATTTCAACTTTCAACTGATACCTTCAGTTTGTTTTTTTGACACTTAATGTTTAACTTTGTCTACCTTTATGCAATCTTAACAGTTTTGTTTGAACATGTTTTATGTTTTTAAAAATCTTACTGTAAACTTAATACGTTTTAGAACCCCTTCCACTGTTTAAAGAGGCAGCTTTTTTGTTGGTGCCATGTCTTCTGCCAATGATTCTGCTGCAATAGCTTTTTATGGTCTGTATGCCGAGGTTGGTGGCTTTAAAATAGCTTTCTTTCTGGGACTGCATGCTTACATCCACGCCTGAAGAGCACTAGTGTGACTGAAGGACAGGAAGAATCTCTGAGAAGAGGAAGAGAGGAGTAGAAAAAGGTCTGCCTCCTGGTCATGTCTGTGTCTGTCTGTGCGGAGGGGAGGAGACACACCGTGCTTGGAGAAAAAACCATATCAGACAACAAGTAAATGGTTTTCCTCAAGATACTTCACCATTCCTCAGATCCCTCAGCTATTTATCTATCTTCTAGTCTTCAAAACTTAAGTTCTGATCCTTGTTTTTTTTTTTTTTTCTCTCTCCCTGGACCCATATTATCCTGTCCTGTAGGATTTGAGGAAAAGTTGCTGCATCTCAAATCTAAACTAAGGTAGGAATTTTATATGTTTCTATGTCGATGACTGTGTTGTTTTCACTCGTTAATTGCAGAGTTAACCTGATGTTTTATTACTTTTCATTTAAAAATAATAATCTGGGAAACCTAAGGTAGAAAACTGAAGCTATATGTTTGCAAAAGCAAATAGCATCTAAAGGCTTTTTGGTTTTGATTCCTGTTCCAGAAACTTTGTCTGATGCAGAAACTGTTCAGTCCCCAAAAGCAGGAGCTAAGAGGGTGTGTGTGTTTACGCTGGTGGTAAGGGTGTCAACAAAGCCATAGAAGCTATAAATGTTTTAAATCTTTTTGCACCTTGACTTTTGGACTTTTGCAGAAGACATGAGCAGCTCCTGTTGCACATAGCTCGGCAACCACATATTTTAGTGTTGATCGTTGTATTAAAATAGAAGCTTCACAACAGTCAATTCCTAGTTTAATGCAACAGTAGAAAAAACTAAAGAAAAACACTGAAACAAGCAGTCGAAGCATCAATAAATGATGAAGTTGTTACCTTTTTCCTCCTTTCTTAAACCAACTTATTAAGCTATATTTACTATCTTATCAGCAGATCTTATTACAATATACCAACCTCATTATGTGATTTAAAACAGTCAAAGTTCATGCATTAAATTGAAGATTATCATAAATCCAAAAGCATTTTGAAAGAGAAGCAAATATTGCCCATTATTTTTTGCACTTTCAAATTATTTTTCATAACAGATTAGTTAAGAGAGGCTTTTAAAAATGATCTTGTAAGCAGTTTTTTGTTGATATATATACTGACTTGGCATTGCTTTTGTTTCCTACTTGAGAAGGATGATGACAAAGCATAGTTTCTCTACTGAGAAGCAAAGTAAGTCATTCTTTTATGTTTTAGTCCAACTTTTTTGCTTTGTATATGCAGCATTGCAGAACTACAGAAAAGTCCTTTCATTTTTGCAGGAAAAAAAAAAAACAGAAAAAGGAGAAATGTGTTTAGTTGTGAAATGGACTGTGGGTGTTGCGCCATTCATTTTGAAGGGTATTTCCTCCTGTACCTGCAGTATTCATGTATAGCATTCCAGTGAGACCTGATCCAGCAGAAGCTGAAAAAAAAGAAATAGGAGGTCAGAGGGTTTACAGCTTGTTTTTCTTGCCTAGCTGCCTTCTAAGACTTGAGTGCTTTGCTGTTTGCTGACGGAGCAAATCCTAGCAATTGTGTCATTACATGGGATTAACACAAACCTTTTTCACTGGCTGTCGGGCAAAGTTAACATAAAGTCCTTTTCTGCAGTTGGAGGAACGACAAAACTCCCCTCAACCTACCCATCAATCATAAGGCACCATGTAACAAGGTTAATAAGCTTAACTTTTAACAACTATCAACAATTATCCAGTGTTTTCTTTATATTTATCATATAAAACAGCAAGATAAAATTAGGCATCTAATGAAAAAGGCATCATCTTCCTTAAATAAGTAAGTTCAAATAGCATCTGCCTCATCTTCTAATGCTTAAGCATCAGAGGAATTGGCAAAAGGGGTCATTAAGACTCCTCTATCAGTAATATCTGCCCTCCAATCTGGATCCGTCTCTATGGTAACCTGCAGCTGCACAGGCCATTGGGTGAGTGTAGTCCCACAGATTCATTCAATTCTTAAAAAGGCAAAAACTACACCCTGTTATGTAGAGAAGCAGCTTTACATTTTTTAAACCTTTTGATCAGCCAATTGAAAAAGCTTAAAAGCAATTGTTTAACATAGATCTGCTTTATGATTAACAAGCAGCAGCCCTGAAAATTATGAACAACCTGCATTTCAAAGTCCTGAGTAAAAGAATCAGCATTTTCCTTGAATTTTATGATGAAATTCTCCTAATGGGTAAATTGGTTCAGCATGACAACCGTTGACAGACTTAACCTGCTAAATGGAGCTGTGTTGATGCTGGAGGAAATTCTCATTTACAAAATACTCTAAAATGCACATTTTTTAAATGTTTATGGTGGAAAATGGTGAGAAATTGTTAACAAATTGTATTTTTATAATTATATTTAAAAAAAAATTAAGAAGCCAACCCAGCCAGGCTGAGGTGGAGCAGATCCATTCCCCTCTTCATTCTGAATTAAGACTTAACTTTTTCGCAATCTTTCCGACCTGCTAGATCTGGGTCTACCTTATTTGCCTTTAAACAGAGGAGGGTTTAATATTCCATGTGACACATTTTAAGAATTGAAAATGTCTTGTTTCCTATGGGCAATTTATCCACCTACATTTGGATGTTTCAACTTTTACAGTTGGTCATTAGCTGTGCATAAAGACCTTAGAGGTGAAAAGTACTTGGATGTTCAGAAGGAGCTCAGAGAAGAGAAGCAGACTCAATTTTAGTCACCGAAATAGAATTGCACAAATTAGGATTATTCCTTCGCTTACATCATTGAAAAAACAAAGTATGTAAAAAGCAAAACAGGGCAAGGTCAATATAATTTTATAAATTAAATGTGTATTTTTGTGAATAAATGAAAAAAAGAGGGGTTGTATTAGAGCAAAGGTTCAATTGTTTAAGGAAAGTGTCCGATTATCCAGTCTGTGAGCACATCACAGCGTGGGGAAAGAAACTTCCTCTGTGACCGTTCCTAAGGTAAAATTTGAACATCCTCTGAACAGGCTGTGTGAGGTCAGCTCAGCTGTTACAGTGGCTGCTTCTCCTCTTTGTCCTCAGACCTGTATGGGTTGAAATGGAAGGAAGCTCCGCCCTAATGATCCTCTCTGCAGACCATAATGTTTGTTGCAGTTTGGACCGGCCCTGTTTCTTAGTTTGGTTCACTGAAGGGTTAATCTTTCTGAGTTTTCCCAGAACAAACTCTCTGCTGGGTCTTTTTTCCTTACAAAGCCTTTGTGTAAGGAACTTTACTAGAAAGTTGTAGCTCCAGGTGGGGTGGCTGGTTGGTTAGAGAACTATTTGTTTTAAAAGGAGCGTAGTTTGGGGATCTGGGAGGATTATTACTGAACATCTTCCTGGCCCAAAAGAGAAGAGTTCCAGCAAAACAGATCACACATTCTGCCCCTAAAGGGATCATGGCCGAGGGAGAATCAGAGAGGAGGACTCTGACAGTTGAGTGCTGATATGAAACAGCTGGTTTCTGCACCCTGATGCCAGTGGAAAAACTGCACCTATTTTTAACACCCTGACCTCCGATCTGTAATCCTTTCATATCTACCTCTGAAATGATTGTAGGGAGATCGAAGGGGTCTGATACGTTGGTAAAGCTAAGGCACTCTGCATGGTGGAGTGCACATTTTGTCCTAAACAGATTTATTTAACTGAGATGTGAAGACAGTAATGTCAAACATTTCAAGCTGTTGCTCTTTATAGAAATCAGTTTTCAGAGGGACTCTTCCACTGATGGTATGACTCTACTGGTAGGAAAACTTATTTTTAGAAAAAGAACAATATAATAGATCAGATTACTTTGCACAATCATCCCACAGCGATGTGAAATAATGCCAAAAGAAACTGCAGTTTTGGTCCGAACTAAAGACTGATGGTGAAATAGTCGCCCCTGGGCGTTTGTTAAAGGCAGCAGTTTGTTAATCGGTTTTTGGGATGATCAATAAAGAACTAATCAAACTGAGTCAACAGGAATTTCAGAACATCCCCCTGGATGCTCCGCTGACCTTGATTTCATCAGCAAAACAAATATTTTCGTCTCTGTTACCAGAAAAGGTTCCTTATCTAAAGCCAACAGCTCTGCAATAAGAGCCTGACTGAACCCAAACAAACATAGACCTCGTGGCTTTGTGAACTTTGACCCCAGATTTGCAGTTCTTCACTGACATGTCTTTAAAGATTATTTTACCTAGTTGCTGTAATTGTAACCATAGGAAAAAATACAGTCGCTCTTGGAGAGAGCTCTAATAAGAGGGAGAGCAATTTGCTTCTAATTATGTTCAGTCATGCTTTCCTGCATGCTGTGCTTCCCTGAAGGCCTCAGACAGAGAAAAAAACTCAGAACGGCAAACAGTGATGTGACATAAACCCACAGTGCAGCTAAAAATAGCAGTAGGAGTGCTTAAGGTGAAAAGGTGAGCAAACTGTTCCTGTTTAAGTTGAAACTGTTTCCTCTGTTTTTTTTGTTTTTTTATTTGGACTTTCAGGTTAGCTCATTATTTGCACATCCTGGCCTCCTCAGGTTCTCTGTTCCACCACTTCATGATTAGTTGCCCTCTGTGACATTTTTCTGTGGACATTCTGACCCCAGGGATGATTTTCGCATTGCAGGCCTGAGCAAAATAGCGATGGAGCTTTTTACTAATGTGAAACATGGCGAAATCCCCAAAAGACACAATGTGTCTGCACTCCTGTGTTTAACTTCAACAGTCAAAGGCATTTCTTAACAAATGGGTTTTTCAACTTTGACTTAAATTCAAAGGTAGTATAACATGTTCTTGTTTTTTAAGTAGAGTTAACTCAATCCTATCGATTAGTCTGAATTATTTATATATTAATTAACTGTCCCTCAGTGTGGAGGTCCAGTAATAGAGATTAAAAGTCAAATGGCTGCATAAAGATTAACACAAAGGTTATAAGAAAAAAACATACGAATTGAAGGACTGTATTGTATATCAAGGGCAAATTTACAAGAGTAAATATACAATATGTATTAAAAAATGCATATTTAGATTAAATGAAATATTCAGCAGATAATCAAAAGATAATTTAGAAAAATGTCAAACTGTGCCTGTATGTACATCTGCTCCAAGAAAGGAGCTGTAATACCTTCTCAGGAGCGCCTACAGCTCTGCAAAAGACCTCAGTTTCTCTAAAAAGTTTTTGACTCTAATGGGAAAACTATAGCAGAGGTTTCTGTCCACATCACAGTTCATTATAAGAATTTATCATCAATAAAAATCAGAATTTAGTACTGGTAGAGACCATACAGGCCCAAACCATAACACTCCGAACTTTTTGTTCAAGAGAAGAGGTGCCCTGCTTTGAAACTTTCACTTTCCTTTCAGCACCTCCCAAAGACTTTGATCTTTGTCTCATCCAAGCTTTTTCCAGAACGCCTCGGGTTCTTTATAAGAATTACTCCATAGCTGTAGGCTGACGACATTGTGTTTTTAGATAACCTGACTGTTCTGGATTTTGCAGCATAGATGTAAACACCTGCCTCCCAAAGACCGACTGTAACCGGCAGGGCTGGTATTTTACGTGTTAAATTCAACATATTTCCTGTCATTGGGAGAATTCTCTGCTTAGACAACATATTTAACTCCAAGTTAAATATGAATACATTTTTGTTCAAACACACTCAAAGCTTTCTATCTGCTGAACAACATCCCAAACAAGCAGGTGCTGAAGGTTGCTGCAAAATTATTTTAAACCAAAGCCTAGCTTGGTGCACCTGAAGCAGATATCCGTCTACCCCAAAGCTTATTGGGATGACTAAGGAGGTAAAGTGACTCCTAAACCTGAGCTGGGACATCGCAGCACAGTCGTGATGACCGACCCCCACTGTGTCTCTCTGTTTTTAGGCTGCTGCCCCCACAGGTCCAACATTCAGCGAATGTCTACATCAACATGACCAGCGTCAACTCTCCAGCCAGCCTGCTCGCCCGCAACCACTTCTACAGAAGTATGAGACTCAGACAGTCAAACAGCCGCCTAGATCTGCTTTTAGATCTGGAAGCTTCAGTTTAAACTCAAGGTCAAAGAACAAACAAATATTAGTTTGGGATGAGAGGTTAGAACTTTCCTCGTGCTCAGGCTGAGGTGGGTAGTAAATAGTTACACTGACTTGACTGTTTCCAGTAGTAATTTTACAGCACTGCGCCTTTTGCTTCTACCTGATAAATGAAAAGGAAAGAATATCAATGTTTACTATCTCCAGTTACTTTACAATGTAACCAAAAATTCAACAGACACAATGCTGAGATGACTGGTTTGTTGTTTTTTCTAATGTTACTTTCCATCTGAAATCATTTGGAGGTCATATAATCGTACGGTAAACGGCAGATGGTGTGACTGGAAGTCCTCAGAGTTTACTTCAGTGTGTCTACTTTGTTCAAATCTGAACCGAAAAAGAGAATGTAACATTTCCTTGAATTATTCATGCAGATACGCAGTAAAGATTTACCAGGACACACGTCAAAATCTCAACAAAGCAAAGGTGTGCTGTGCTGGAGGTTTTTAGTGATAAGGTGTGTGGTGTTGCAGAGACATTTGACATGTGGTCAACCAGCTTGGTATGTAATTTGCAGAGTTAATGGAAAGGTTAAGAGATGATGTTACACATAATTTTGTTTCTATATTTTTGCCTTTTCTTGTTGATCTATTACATACAATCATCAATAAAATACTTCAATTGTGCTGCTTTAATATGACAAAATGGAAAGTTAAGCAAAACATTTAAAGCCTTTAAACATTAAAACATCATGCAGAAAAAGTAGGAGAGATAGAAATCTCCTTTGGGCTAAATTGGAAGTTATGTGTAGGAATCAAAGAAGGAGAAATTAGAATAGATATGTAGAAAACTGGGACAATCGTGCTGCAGATTTCCCCTTTCAGAGAACATGTGCAATGATGACAAGCAGCCGCCTCAGGATGAATGGGTTCATAGGAACAGAGCCAAGCTGGGAATGCCGGATATATGAGCCAACTTTTAAAAAAAGTTTTGGCCGTCATCTTGTTCACGCACTGTTCACTCCCAGAGCACATGATCACACATGCACATGGCATGCTTCCGAGCCTAACCGCACACTATAGAAGTGGTTAGGATAAGACACAAATAACAAAAACATAGAAATCTGTTTTTCAAGATAAGAACTATACTAATCTGGAAGCATAGTAAAAGAAAATAAGATTTTTTTTTTTTTTTTTTTCAGGTTTGCTCTCAAGTCCAGAAGGGATTAAATCCACATTCAGCTGTCAGAACGACTCAGCCATGCACCACCAAAAACAGGTCAACCTTTGGATCAGCATGGGAGCTGCTCCTGGTAAAAAAAACCCAGACACATTTAGAGCACACTGCTTTAATGAGATACATACAGTACATGGATACATACATACGGTACATACTTAGATACATACATGCGTACATACATACATACATACATGCAT